CCCCAAAACCCCAAAACCCCTACCTCATAAAATGAAGAATACATACACGTAATTAAAATTGATTATTAAAAGATATTTTACAAAAAAAGAAAATACTCAAATGGAGGCAAAAGACTTAAAAGCATAGATGGAATATAGATATATGGGAAACACAGGATTAAAAGTTTCAATCGTTGGTTTCGGGAACATGATAATCCAGCACTAAGGCAATGCTTAGAAAACTACTAATAGTATTGTTGCAAGGTGTCTGGAATATGGTATCAATTATTTTGATACCGCCGAATTCTACGATGAAGGTAACGCCGAATCTTATCTTGGATAAGCTTTCAAAGAACTCAAAGTGCCAAGAGAAAGTGTTGTAGTCTCAACTAAACTTATGTTCGGAACCGGAAGTATTTTCAATGTCAAGACTCCACCTCCGACAGTTGTAGGACTATCAAGAAAGCATGTTATTGAAGGTGCCCTAAGATCACTTAGAAAGCTCCAAATGGAATATGTCGACATAATCTTTGGCAGTAGATTCGATTAATATTCTCCACTTGAAGAAATTTGTAGAGCATTTTCATGGCTAGTAGAAAAAGGCTATGCTCTTTATTGGGGTGTTTCCGAATGGCCTATTGATGCTACAGTTGAGGCGATTAAACTTTGTCATGAATTGAATCTGAGAGCTCCAGTAGTTGAATAAGCATAGTACAGCATGCTCTCAAGAGAGAGATTTGAGAAAGAATATAAGCCTTTATTTGACAAGCATGGCTTCGGAGCTACTATTTGGTCTCCTTTAGCATCTGGAATTCTTACAGGAAGATACAATGATGGAAATATCCCTAATGATAGTAGATTCAATGACAATCCAGGCTTTAAACATTTCGTCATGTCACAATTTATGAACCCAAATAATAAGGATAAAAACGTTAAAATTTTGAATGATTTAGGAGCCTTGGCCAAAGAATTAGGCTACACTTAAACCTAACTTGCTCTTGCTTGGGCCATGGCTAGCAAAGATTCCTCTTCTTTAATTCTAGGGTTCTCAAAGCTTTCTTATATAGATGAAAATCTAAAGGCAATTGAATTATACAAGAAATGGAGCAAAGAAATTGAATAGAGATGCGAAGCTATTCTTGGGAACTAGCCAATCCCTTCTATGGACTATGTTATTTTTAGACCTAATCCATAAAGAAGAGAAGCTGCTGTTTTTGGAAAGAGACCACAATGACCAAATCACAGCAAATAAATCAATTAGAAGATTTTAATAATGGTCTATACTTAAGAAGATATTTATTATAATTAGTAATAAATTGATTTAATAAATAATAAATCATTTTAATTTTATAATTTAAACAATTTAAAATTTCCTCGAATTCTTCTTTCAAGTTTAATAAATAAAAAAATAAAAATGGGATTAAATTGTGGTAAAGATATTTAGAATGATTTTCTATTAAAAAGAAAAGCCTCTACTCCTCAAAATATGAGATTTAGTTCGACCATAGCAAAATTAAGATCAATGTAGACAGCTGATAAAGAGATAGTGATAATTGAGAGCAAATACAAAATCCTACTGAATAAGATTAAAGTTTTAAATGATAGAATATCAGAGTTTTAGGAGATGACTTTGAATCAGAAAATTTCGAGAATCTAGAGCACTTAAGGGAAACTAAACTTAGATTAGAAAAAGCAATTAGATCTAATGGTAAATATTTTTCATATTATTTGATATTTTGGATCATACAAACTTAATTATCTATTATAGGAAGAAGTCAGTGCAAAAAATATCAAATTGATTGATTAGAGTTTAAATTTATCCAACGAATAAACCTTATTTTAATTAAAACTAGAAGAATTTTGTGATAACTATTCAAGAAATGAAATTTAAAAAGAGAAGAAACTGAATGAATTGAAATCATTAATAGAAAAAATCAAGAACGAATTTAATGAAATAGATACTAGTTTCAAGTAGCTGTTTGTATAATATATAGCCTTTACAGATTATGAAGAAAATTTGAAATAATATAAGTAAAAGTTAATTGATTTAAGCAAGTTAAAAGAAAATTTAGAAATGGAGTATACATTTAAGGAAGACTTTATTCGAGATTTTAGCCAAGTATAATTTCCAAATGGATAGCCATACTAAGAAAGTGGAAATGCTGAAATCTCAAATTTAGTAGCTTGAATCAAAATCTAACAAAAAAATGCTTTTGAGGTGACGACTAAATATACAAACATCTTATAATTGTTTGAGGATATTCAAGTTAAAGCTGATTTTTTAATCTCCTATAAAGAAATAGAGTTATTATCAAAGCAGTATCAAAATGTTTTAGATTGTATTGATAAGATTCAAAATTTCAAGATTCTTTTAAAAAATTTCCATTTGGAGACAGGGGAGATTTAAAAATTCTTCAATAATTTCAATTTGGAGGAATTCTTAAGTTTAAATCATATCAAAAATAAAATATTGGATAATCAGAAAATAATAGATGAGTTTAGCAAAAATAAAAAAGACTATGATCATTTAGATAATTTGCAAAAAGATAATTCAGATGTAGATTAAATTCGCATACATTCTCAATTGAACTTACTTTAATTGGACCTAAATATCTAAGAGTAAAAATTGAAACTTATTGAATAGAAATTAAGGGCTGATATAAATGCGTATTATGATTTGTAATCTTTGAATGTGAAGAAAGCATGTTTGATTTTGAGTTAACTTGTCAATTACTTAATAGTTGAGAAATGCATTGATAAGCAGATGAAGTTGATCATTATATACTAGTAGCACATCCAAATATTAAGAAAGATTACTACAGCTAAAAGTATTAAATCTCAACTTTTTGATACCTAATAGGATTATTTATCTAAATGGAATGTATACGAGGCTCATGCTATAATAAATTATTAGCTAAATTACCAAACTTGCAATAAACAGATATCTGATCAAATCGAAGAATTTAAGCAATATTAGTCTGAAGTATTGTAGGTTCTGAAAGAAATTAACCAAGAATTCGAAAAGGATAAGCAAAATACATTATAAAAAAATGAAATAGATGATCTTTTGCAAGAATTCATTGAATAATATAAACCAGGTATAAAAATAATAAAAGACAATTAAAATGTGTACTTTTTTGGGGATCAGCCAAAGACTATTCGAATTCATGAGGGAAAGTTGTTTATAAAAATAGGAAGAACATCAATTCCAATTGAAAAGTATTTTGAGTTACATCATAGCAAGTAATGTAAAGAAGAATTGTATAGAAATAATGGGATTAATGTCGCGTTTGAAAGTCCAACCAAATTTAAGTCATACATAGAGACTATGGCATATATAACTTAAAAGCACAAACCTATCACTTTTACAAGCAATGAAAAATCTAATTAGCTAACAAAATCTAATATATAGTTAAATGAGATATAGATCAAAGAGTAGTTAGTAAATAAAGGTATAATACCTTTATTATCTCCAAAAACCAACAAAAAGAGCATGATTAAGAAAAATAATCTGACTATCATGGTTCCTGATGGTGAAGAACCAAAAAAGATTATAAATAAAAGTCAGAGTAGCACTAATCTTATTAGCTTTACCTCGCCAAATATAAAATCTAAAATCACTGTTTTAGAATAAAGGAACACTACGAATAGTCAGTAAAGCATAATTTAGCATTCTATCAATAAGAAGTACTAGCAGGTTTTGATCGATAAAAGGTAATTGGCTCAGACACCCTAGAATGATATCCTGCAAAAAATGCTTTCAAACTATGATAATTAATTATAAAAATATTAGATCAATTTTAAGGGAGGTTAGACAATTAATACTTTAAAGTCATCTACTGTTTCTCCCTCGTTAACAAAGAATCCTTCAATTTAACAATTACCATTTGACACATTATAATTGAACTATTTAAATACAAATAGCGTAAAGAATTCAGACTAATAGAACAGGAAAAAGTGGAAATTCTGATTTTTTATTAAATAAATTAGATACAATTAAAATCTTTGATTTAAATATGCTGATTTATTTGCTTTTAAAGAATTTGAATGAAGGGGTTTTGGGGTTTTGGGGTTTTGGGGTTTTGGGG